CCACAATGTACAAAGTGATGTTTCAGCTGGCATTGGAAGGTTTGTAAAATTAACATTTTATCTTACTTTAAATAATGCACTGATATTGGTGTGCTGTGCATCATTTTGAGCTTAAACACTCTTTGACCACATGGTGTTACTAAATCATATTTACATGAGACAGGTGATGTTATGTAGCCCTGAGATATATGCAACAGTTTCAACATTGTTTATTTTATACCAACTTTAGATATTTCAACATCCCTACTGTTAAATAATGCATGCTCTGGATTGTGTCTCCTAGATACTCATGTTATGAGCCCTGGAATCTTGGGCTTTAGGTTAAGTACAACACACCTCTAAGTACAGCTGCCCTAGGTGTCCTAAAATTATAATGATCTCTGTTAATGCATTTTGTTTTGTTCTTTTCTTGACTGAGGAAATACAATTAAAGATCTATAACGAAGACATTGACAAGTAAGTATTAAAGTCTTTCTTTTTCAAGTTGTAATTTTTTTATGATCTTGTTTTTATTATTTTATTCCTTCCTAATACAGCTTAAATGGAGCGAAATGAGTAGGAAATTGTGTATTTTTGAAGGGGAGTGGTCGGTTATAGGAGGTTTGGTGAATAAAGGACTAGTGATACCAAGCAACCATAGATGGAGTTTGTGTAAGCACTAGTGACTAGAGGACTGGGGGGGTTGTTTTTGATTGTTCGTGTATTTTAAATGCAGCCAGAGAAATTCGTAAAACTATGGCCATGTTGGTATTTGTGCCTGGGGACTGGGCATCTCCTGGTCCACTAATGATTCACCTTGGAAGAATTGTAAAGTACTAGCAAATTTATGTTCTTATCATCCTCCATCTCACAGGCCAGGGCATGGAGGAATGAGAAGATGCCATTTACTGGGTCTCTACACAGTGTACAAATTGTCAACACTATCACACATAGCATAAAGGAAGGATATACTGCTATTTCAAGGTCTGCATTTGTTATTGTTTTCATTGTATCACAAACACACTGGATAGGGGAAGTGTGGGCTGTTCCTTGTGTCCCTCCTGGGTAATTTGGGGGTCCAGAGGTCCCCATGTCATATGTACTTGATATCACAACCCTGGTTAAATACTTTGCCCTATACGTGCGATTTTTATTTGTTTTAAAACAACTAATTTAAAAGCAATCACTTTTTGTAAATATGAGTTTTTCACCATTTTGATCAAATATTAGGTTTTTCAATGAGTTTCCATAATCCTTTGGAGGTTAAGAGTTCTCAGCCATATTATATAGTACACAACTACAAACTCTAGTTTATATTTGAATATAGGCATTCTAAAAGTTTGTGAAGTAGAACAATAATAACCATGCATACAAATCTATTTTATACATTGCATAAATAACAC